TCACATGACCTGAAGGACGTTTCACCAGGGAAGGAACCTCATGAGAATGCCGTAATTTTAATGAACCTACTCCAAAACAAACTGCCCGAAGATGATCCAATTCTGGAATTTGTTCTCATGAACACTGCAGCCTTGTTTGTCGTCTCGGGTATTTGTGATGCAGATACTAGTGATATGGGCCATGGGGATGATGGAAATGTTATCACTGAGAGGGGACCTGGTGGAGGAAGATGGAAGGAAGGTGTAAGAAGAGCTCGATGGGCTATTAAGAGTGGCGAGGCCTACAGACAATGGAGACAATTTGTCGAAGTTACCAAGACATTTTAGATCTGAAAGACCAAATTTGACAGATATCTTTGGACAAGATCAATGTTATGTATGATTATGATATATGCACGGCGGTTGGACTGAACTGGCAGGTATTGGGAAATCAAAAAAATGGGATGGAAAAGTTCTTGATATACCTACTCGACCATTCACTTCAAATATATTAACAATGGGCATGAAACTAGTTCTGGAATATGATGTTGATTGTTGGGATCTACAACGATGGGTCCACAAATGTGCAAGTTGACTACCTGGTACTATTAGTAATCTCGTAACTTCCCCATTTTATCAATACCTAGAGAGCTAGGCGAGCTAGGTACTGATGGTAATGTGACTCGGGTGTCAACGGCATTCCGAACAATCTCCATTATGACACATTTCTTAGCTTCCTAGTCTGTTCGTCAAGCCAGAAGCCAAATGATTGGGGGAAAATATATCTTCTTATGGAAATTTAGCGATTTAGATAGGGAAGGGACTCGAGAGGGGGAAAATTTTATTGCTGTTTTTAGTAATTAAATCGACACTTGACGCCCTTGTTAAACTTGTTGACCTCCACGTTTCTCTCCCCTCAACCCCCACCAAAGGTACAGAGTAGATATTAGGAGACTAGGTATGATGAGTATGTATCCTTGAATTCTGTCACTGGCCCGAAGTCGCTCTCAATTCCAATCGAGCCAATCTAGAAAAACCCAGGCAAGTAGGTGCGAAGGCAGGTAGGAGGTATCCACAAGTATCATAAGTTCAAGCTTTGTTTCTTAGTCTACCTAGTAAGATACATCAATCATTTAAGTACATCTTGGCTCGAAGTCCGTTTGCTTCGATTAATTGAAAATACTTGTTTTCTTCTACAAAGTCTAGTCATCGTAGTATCCCTCCTATGAAATATCTTCTTCCTTACCTTCGACAATCCAGAAGTCTTATCGGAAGCAATCCACGTCCAATCTCATCATCTTCATTAAGGAGGGGCAGCTATTTACCCCACCACAAAATACCTCTTAACTTTCACCCCTCCATTCTTTCTTGTCCTACTCAACCATCTTCCATTTTCACAATGAGCAAACCTCAGATTCTTTTGTTAGGCGAGATTGACCAGTAAGCCACATTGCAGTTTCCCATCAGAGATTCCTTTCTAATTGAGATATCCTTTTAATAGTGCCAAGAAGGAATGGAGCGAACTTTCCAACATTGGTGAACTCATCGAACCCAAGGCACGATCCCGTCAAGAATTCATAGAAGAGTGTAAAAATGGCGTCTACGACAAAGTCGTGGCTGTATACAGAACTTTCACCAGTGTCGCTATTACAGGTTTGATTGATGAAGAATTAATCAGTGCACTACCAAAGGGTTTGAAGTTCATTGCTCACAATGGTAATAAAAAGAATCTCTGAATCCTAGAGAAACTGGCGAGGCTAATACGTGGTCTTAGGAGCTGGATATGACCAAATTGATGTACATGCATGCACTAAACACGATATCCGTGTTTCTAATGTTCCAACTGCCGTTGATGATGCTACTGCCGATACCAATATGTTTCTCATTTTGGGAGCATTGAGAGGATTCAATACCTGTTCGTATTTAACCTGACCACACCCAGAATATTATTATTAACATCCGGTAGCAATGATGGCTCTACGAAAGAACCACTGGAAGGGCTCCCCAGCACCACCTCTTGGTCACGACCCTCAAGGAAAAGTTCTCGGTATCTTAGGAATGGGTGGTATCGGACGAAACCTCATGAAGAAGGCAACTGCTTTCGGCATGTCTGTTCAATATCACAACCGTACAAAGCTTTCGGAAGAATTGAGTGGAGGTGCTAAATACGTCAGCTTCGATGAGTTGTTGGCTACCAGTGATGTTTTGTCCTTGAATTTACCTTTGAACGTAAGTTTTACTTCAAGCACCACTCAAAGGTTCCCTGTTGATAAAATCACAGAAAAACACTCGTCACATTATCTCCACCGAGGAATTCAAGAAGATGAAGAAGGGTGTCGTTATCACCAATACCGCTAGAGGTGCAGTCATGAACGAAGATGCTCTAGTAAAGGCACTTGAATCTGGCCAAGTTTGGTCAGCAGGACTAGACGTTTTCGAAGAGGAGCCAAAGGTTCATCAAGGACTGATTGATAACCCACATGTCATGTTGGTACCACACATGGGAACAGTAAGTTACAGATCCTCCTTATTCGAGTTTAAAATCGCATTGAAACTAACATTCTGTCAAAAGTGGACTGTGGAGACTCAAACCAAGATGGAGATCTGGTGTATTGATAACGTAAGAAGCGCCATCGAGAAGGGTAAGTTGATGAGCCCAGTAGGAGAGCAAAAGGATATGTAGATATGAATTAGAGGAGGTAATATAGAATTTTGGGATTGTAACCTTTGAAGTTTTATTTTAAAGTGTTCACTGGGTCGATATACTCGGTCCATTGCAATTTTAACTTTGAGTGGTATCGGCTCCAATCATTTGGTAGGATTTCATTGACTTCTTGATTGATCTCATTGCTTTCTACATATATACAGTACTTTTACAATTCTATTAAATTCTTTCAATTCATGATTCTCGTCTATGCTCACTGGGGACTGACCTGCTGTGGCGATCCAGGAGTGAGCTCCTCTGCCTTAAGCTCTAAATGTATTTACTGCGGGATATTGGGAAACATGATACAATGGAATTTGTGTAATTATTGGGCACAGAAAGGGCTTCTCCCGCCTCCCTACTAACGCAAGTGCGTACCTGAAATGAACACTTTGGAGGAGACTAGCCATATTACCTAATACTTGAGACATTTAATATCCTGTACCTAAGGACTCAAAAGTTTCAAGCGCTTCATCGAATGTCTCCTCTAGAAATAGCACTCGTCGAATCAGGATTTTAAGACGCGTTGGAAGATGTTCGCTGAGATGGGGGATTGTGAGCTATGCGTTGTGTTGTGATTGCGGATATCGAAGATGCTATTAACGGCGGAGGGGGGAGGGCTGAGGGAGTGCAATCAGTTGAAAGATTAGCTTTGCAATGTATTCTACTGTATATTGAGGTGGATGTGAGATAAGGGGGTGCATGATAGGTACATAGGTTAGTATGGTGATACCGGGTTCATGTTTCTGAATATGAGTATGAGTATGAGTATGAGTATGAGTATGAGTATTGTTGCAAATAGCGAGATAGACAGTCCTTGCACTATTAATCTGAATCCATACTTAATGAATTTGAACAATCTGATCAGGTGCGATCTAATTCTAATTCCTATGTGAGATTACATTAGCATTATCATCACACCATTCATTGCTATTTCCGTAGCTGCATGCAGATGAGTCGATATACTAGGTATGTATATAAGGATGTATAGCTGAGCACTCTTACTATATGCGTCAAAGATACCGTTGCTAGAACTGAGTATATATATATATACCAACAAAAGCGAATCCTTACGCACATCCACCTAAAACTACAGATACCGCACTCCATCACACATCACACATCATAAAACAAAAAACAAAATAAAGTCGATTAGACTTGACATCTACCAGGTAGTACGTATTAACTACGCAATACCCGCAGGCCACAGAAGTAATGCGGTAGTACGACTACAGCACTCCCACTACAAGTCAACAACGCATTCGAGATTGTGTGCCGTTATCCACGGTTCTCACGTTCTTACTCTCATTACTCTCATCTCTACACATATAATGACGGCGCCAAGTTCCAACGACAAATAAGGATAGAAACGCAAACATCCATGGATCCCATCGAAATATCACACCCAGCCTTCAATAGCACAAACTGACTCACTCACCTGCACACCTACCTACCCACCCACCCCAAGACCAACCCATCCAAAATTCCAAACACCCCTATTTTCTCTCCCCAAACAACCCAACAGAGCGAGCACCAAGGAATCAAGTATCGCTCCAAAATCTCCCGAGAACCGCATCGCAACGTGTGAATCTCACGACTCCAGATTCTCATTTACCCGAGTCATGCCTTCAGCCCCCACATCATCCATCGAATCGTGGCGTCCAACGTGCTACTACCAAGGAACTTGCTTGGGCCCTTTTACCATTCGAACGCCCCTCTGAATGCCATCCGACCCTCAGATATCAGCTATGCAAATCCAGGTTTCCAAGCAAAAATCTCATACATAATTTTCGACTTGACTGACTCGGAATTATACTCACTCTATGTTGAAATCATTCCACAGATCAAAAGCATACACGACGAGGTTTACTAAACTCTATGCAAATGGCATTTGTAACATCAAATATTATCAAAAATTATTTTCTAATGTGAGATCAATTCCGGACTAGACTACCTTGATCTTCCATCTAACTTCTGCTTTTTCTATACCATGCTGCACACAAGAGATGGCAAGAAACAGAACGTAGAAGATGGATGACACCAGAAAAACGCACGCAAAAAAAGACAAAGAGGAAGCCCCGTGGAATCATAGCTGAAACGAGATTCCTAGCCATAAGAAGACGTAAGAGCTTAAATCATCATACATTTACCACCCTTGCGCCTCTCATTGATGTGGACCGCTGAAGACACAAGAATAAGTTTGAGAGATGCACCAATGACCAATTTGGAGGAGCGGTGGAGATATGAACGTTTTGATTGGTTTTGTAGTATCTTGCAAACACAATCGTGGTATAAAGGTTGAGGATCGATGTTGTACTTAGTTGTGACCAGTCTTGCGGAGAGTCGTTGCGAGCCATTCCAAACCCTCGTAAAGACCATCTCCAGATGTAGCGCAAGTAGATTGAATGTACTAAAAATATATTAGCAATAGATCCATTGTAGCTACTCGATATACATACCCAGGCGCGTTGTCTCAAACTGTGGAGACCCAACTTATCTGTGATTTCTGCGGCGTTCATGGCGTTCTAAAGACATAGATTAGTCATCGTTTCCAAATGTCGAATCTCAATATACTAACTGGCAAATCTTGTTTGTTGGCAAAGACCAAAAGGATGGCATCTCTGAGCTCATCCTCGTTCAACATTCTCTGCAATTCCTCACGAGCCTCGACCACACGATCACGATCGTTGCTGTCTACAACGAAAATGATACCCTGGGTGTTTTGAAAGTAATGTCTCCACAGAGGTCTGATCTTATCTTGTCCACCAACATCCCACACGGTAAATTGAATATTCTTGTACTCGACAGTCTCGACGTTGAAACCTGCAAGATAAAAGTTAATGATGGCCTCTCGATTTGCTGATGATAAGAGAATGGATGAAGGGATACATACCGATGGTTGGGATAGTTGTGACGATTTCACCAAGCTTAAGCTTATACAGAATTGTAGTTTTACCAGCAGCATCCAAACCGACCATCAAGATTCTCATCTCCTTCTTTCCCCAGAGACGATCAAATAACTTCGAGAATGTCAAACCCATGATTGCGGCTTAACAATTGTGTGTGAGGGTGGATATGGATTTGGTGTTTTGCTTGGAAAATGATTCTAATCGGGAAGCACAGATATTAGCGACTGCGCGATAGATGCAACTTGTTTATATGACCATGAATTAAAAGGACAGTTTCTTGGTGGAGCCACTTGTCGGTGTGAGATCCTTGATCGAATATAGAATGGGCTGCCGTTCTGGACAAAGGACACCTGCTTCTCTGGCATCTTTCTGGAAGGAAGTTCTTTTTGGGATTGGATTGTATCGGTGAATGAGCACGCGCTGCGCCGCCGTTGAAGAAGACTTGCCACACCTTCAAGGGGCTACCAAGAAGGCTCTCTGGATAGATGAAGATATAAATGGAATAGAATAACATGATACTTACAGATTTTCCCTTTGATTAATGAGATCAATAGAATGACCGAGTGGAGATGGAATTGAAGTTATTAGCGAGATGGTTTTTGGATTGAACAAAAAGATGGGGTGGATGTGCTTGGGAAGGTGGTGAGTGAGACTGTGAGAACTTTAGAAGGACAGCGGCGGGCGGTGATTCTCTGTTCTTTCGGAAATTTGACGCTAAAGTGATTACTCTAGCCTATCAGAGTCCCAAATAGGTTTGTGGTTCCAGATTTTTAAGGCTGCGGTGCTTTTTATCGATTGAACGATCTGGCAATAATTGCATTTGATTGATTTGGGTTATCTGGGAAAAAGGGAGCTGGCGATATTGATGTCAATTGACCGTCGACTTGTGAATGAAGGAGAATAATAATACGGAGCAATCAATCAATCTCACCACTCTTTGATTGTGAATCAATTACATTACATAACTTTCTCAGTACCACAAGATCTGGTGAATTATTCGCACCATACCTCTCTCTCTCTCTCGCGTTAAGCAGTTACTCGAGACTCATCTATCTCACCCTTTACACCACGAACCTTCCTCCAACTTCAATAAACCACCTCATTTAATCACACAACCAACATGCGATTCTCAACTCCCGCAGCCCTCTTGACAATTGGCAGTCTCTTTGGAGCTGCTGTTGCTCACAACATTCAACTCGCAGCTCATGGCAGAGAGTGCTTTCACGAACAACTTCACAAAGATGACAAGATGACAGTTACATTCCAAGTTGGAGATAGGGAGTTTGGCAGTGCTGGCAATTTGGACATCGACTTTTGGGTGAGTAAGGCTGGAGTCATGTTGGAACATATTGGCGTATTTCTGGAAAGGCTCTGGGACTAACGGGATTTGAAATGTAGATCCAAAACCCCGCCAACGGATATGAGGCCCACGAAAGAGCTGTGTCTAATGGAGATCACTCATTTACTGCCAACCATGACGGCAAATACCTATACTGCTTCAGCAACGAGCACTGGTCGGCATCTAGCAAAGATGTATCTTTCAATGTTCACGGCATCGTCTATGTACCAGAGGCAGAAGCTCCATCGGATCCCTTAGAGGCAGAAGGTAGCTGAACGTACTTTCCTCTCCAAACATTTGAAGCTTACAATAGATATAGTTCGACAATTGTCTGACCTCCTTGCTCAAGTCAAGGACGAGCAATCATACATTGTTTTGCGCGAGAGAACCCATCGTAATACAGCAGAGAGCACAAACGGCAGAGTCAAGTGGTGGAGTATCTTCCAGATGGGAGTCTTGGTTGGCGAAGGTATCTTCCAAGTTTGGTGGTTGAAACGATTCTTCGAGGTAAAGAGCCACAGTACCGAACGCTACGGCGTTTTGAGCCGGTAGCTGATTGACTTGCGTAGGTCAAACGCGTTGTTTAAGAGTGCGCATCAAGCATGTTTCGTTCAACCAGTTCGGTATAACTGATGGAGCGTAATTTTGGGAAATTGGAACAGCTATGTATCAACAGTATTCGATTCGAATTTCCGACTGAAGCTTTCTATATCTCTTGCGCGTTATTATGAGATAGCGGGTAGCATACCCCTTTACTGACATTCAACTCTTCTTCATATTGAGACAATCTCATAGGGCAGGAAATGGAAACTCTTTTACCCAAGATATCACACATTGAAATCACCCATAATATCAGATGATCCATTGCTGAATCTCATGGAATATCAACTAATGTTCATACCAAATCAAAGCCCTACCGGCTAAATTGTAAAACTATTTGTCCCTGGTATCATTCGTGCAGATTTTGATCCAGAACGTATTCGGTTTCGTACTCGCATGTTCTACTTACCCACGCCGCAACCCTTCCCCATGATTTTGTATCTTACAACGCGACGCCAAGCAATTGGGTAATGCTTCGGCAGCGTCTTTGTGTATGGTTTCAGTCCCAGTGCCGATGTTTTTCATTGTACAAAGACACGAAGCACAACATTGTCTCATATCGATGTTCGGTAACCATGCCATGCATTCAACATTGTATTCCAGAAGGAATCTTTGACGACAGATATCTTGCAGATAAGGAGGGCGTGCTCCTTTTTGAGTCCTTATGGAGAGACGTCCCCCCTTGAGCTGAAGTAACAGAGCCATCATCCATGGCTCGATCGCAATGGCCAGAATGTGCATGCACTGCTGCACTGTTGCACTGTAAGGGAGGGTCGAGAACAGGTTCAAAATAACCGACCCTGTCAGCTCTTATCCTAAAAGGCTTCTTTTCTCCGGAAAGCTAATGAGCCGATGAGAATCCCGGACAGGAATTGGATCAATTGACATGGGAAGTGTAGGTTATCTCGTTATCAAATTAAGCGGAGGGTATGATATATCTTCCTAATACTTTAGTGAATTTTCTCGTAATATTTTCGTGTCTCGTTGGTAAGATTTGATACTTTATAAATCGCCACCAACCCTCCTCTTCTTCACGATCATTTTTGTATCACTTTTGTGCCATTTCTGGGAGCTTTTGGATCTCATATCAAATGTCAAATCAAGCATCTTGACATTATCCATAATAAAATCGACTGTCGAATAGAATTCAAAGTCGCAAACGATTTCTGGGGTAAACACGAGGTCTAGGGTCCACATCTCCAGTCATGCCGGACAAACAGACGGAACAACCCGCTCAGCCTGCTGCGCCAACGCTGGAAACTACCAACCATTCAAATAAGCATGGCGAACTTAAATCAACATCGCCATTACCTGACGTAGCACCTACTGTTGGTGGTGCCGGTGTGGTATATGAGGACAGTGAAAAGGCAGATGCAGCTGCTGCGTCTTTTAAACATCATCCAAGTGAACTTCCAGACCCGGAGAAAGACTTTCATGAAAATGCGTCCGCGGGAATCGGTGCACCCATAAATCACGATGGGGAGAAAGGGGGAGTTGTAGAAGGAACAGAAGAATCAAACGGAGAAGAAGATGACGAGAACCATTATATATCTGGTGTGCCACTGGCACTCTTGACTTTTGGTCTTTGCATGGCTACGTTTACTGTGGCGCTGGATAATACTAGTAAGCTTTCAAATTTGATATATTCATCTTGATGTGGGACATCGACCCTTTGGCATCTACACTGTTCGATACTCAGTTGTTTCCTTTAACGGGACACCTGCTCCAATTCCCCTCGCCCTTATCGGCACGAACTGTCTACTCATTTGCTTCATTAAAAGGATGGCTCAAGTACCATACTAACCATCTCTAGTCATCGCCACTGCTATTCCCAAAATAACTTCAGTCTTCAACTCTCTGGAAGATGTTGGATGGTATGGATCCTCTTACTTGCTCACAACAACCGCCCTCCAACCATCATTTGGACGTATATATACCTATTTTGACGTCAAATGGACTTATCTCTTCGCTCTTATCCTCTTTGAGGTTGGATCTATCATCTGTGCCGCTGCAAGAAATTCAGTCATGCTAATTATAGGGAGAGCGGTTGCCGGTGCAGGAGCTTCAGCTTTATTTTCTGGCGGCATGACAATAGTAAGCTATCTTTACTTTTGATAAGCGTCCTATTGTTTATCTTTTCGTGGAAGGTACATCTCAACTAACTCTGTCTAGGTTGGGTTCAGTGTGCCTTTGATTAAGAGACCATTGTATATTGCTATGTTATCATCGATGTTTGGCATTTCTAGTGTCGTTGGTCCCCTTCTTGGTGGTGCTTTAACTGACAAAGCTTCATGGCGATGGTAAGCATATTCCGCTCCTTGTTTCGCACTCTTTGATTCCAAACTCCAATTTCCAGCTTCGGCTTTTGCTTCTTCTATGCTGTCAAACAACCCTTACCACTCATAGCCTCCTTGAAACCTTTTTGTGTAAGTAATTACTGACTCGTCAATTTGTACAGGTGTTTTTGGATAAATCTTCCATGTAAGTGTGTTTGATTATTTGAACTCGGACCTTCACTGTTGTACTTCTGGTCCCCTATCCCACAACGTCACGATGCCTGTCTTTCAGGTTTCTAACAGTCCCGGTTACGACTTCTGAATCTGTTCTCAATTTCTGGGAGTAGTACAGTATTGAGAGCGAATTTAGTGCTTCAATCTATTCTATTCAATCACTTGAATTTATAAAGAGATTGCTTTGACCGTTGGACTGCAGTCGGACTACTGGTGGCCCTGATTCTGTTTACTTTCTGATAAGATGGGACTCGTCGATTACAACCAAAAACTGACTTTTGTTGAAAAATAACTAACCTCGACATTTTAGTTGGCGGAATTGCTATTGGTGCCGTAGCATTATTCTTTAAACCTCCCCCAAGAAAAATATCCGGCATGACCGTCAAGCAAAGAATTCTGGAAATCGATCTCGTTGGAGCTACTTTCCTCATGGGGGCGATCATCAGTCTATTGTTAGCCTTGCAATGGGGTGGTTCAAAGTATCCCTGGAGCAATTCGAAAGTCTGGGGCTGTTTACTCGGATTCGGTCTTTTGATCATTGTATTCATTGCCCAACAATTTCGTCGCGGTGAACGAGCTACCATTCCACCCAGAATTTTCAGCCAGCGAACTGTTCTTAGTGCTTGCCTATTCTCTTGTTTTATGTCAATGGGTCTTTACACACATATCTATTACCTTCCCTTCTACTTTCAAGCTGTCAAGGGTACCTCCGCAGAAGCTTCCGGTATTCGCACGATTCCATACCTCGGTTCAGTTATCGTCTCATCTATTTTTGCGGGCGCTGGTATCACTGTCCTTGGCTTCTACAAACCTTTCATGATTTTTGCCGGTGCAGTCTTCACGGTCGGCGCCGGACTCATGTACACGCTTCAAGTAGGCTCCAGTGTTGGAAAATGGGTAGGCTACCAATTAATCTGCGGGCTCGGCGCAGGCATGGGAGTACAAATCCCATTCATCGCAGTTCAAGTTGTTCTCAACGCAAAAGACATGCCCAGTGGAAACGCCATCGCTATTTTCTTCAATTCTCTCGGCGGAGCCATCTCTATTTCCATTGCACAAAATGTGTTTAGCAACGGACTCGTCAAATATGTACCTCAATACGCACCTGAAGTTGATCCAGCCGTCATCTACGCTGCTGGTGCAACACATCTTCGCGAGGTCATTAGTCCTGCTGATCTGGTGGGTGTATTAGTCGCATATTGTAAAGCGTTGGATCAATCATTTGTTTTAGCAATTGCGGTTGGTGCTATTGCGACGATTTGTGCATGTTTTGTGGAATGGAAGAGTGTCAAAGGTAAGAAGATTGAGCATGGAGCCGGTGCAGCTTAGTGGTTGGAAAATGAGTTAATACTACTTTTTGATTAATACATAGCGCTATGGCGTTTCTTCTGGGGAGGGGGATTCTTTCAGATATACGGTTGGGTTGAGTGGTTTGGTTGTAGATGCATGATGGTTGGAAGAGGAGGTCGTTACATATGAGATATGGACGAAATGAGAATCAAAGGGAGAATATAGATATGAACATAACGAACTTTCCATCTTAAATTTACACACAAATATACGAACACCTACAAACATACGAACACTTTCACAAGTACTGATCATAACCATTTTTACTAGAAAGGGAATAAAGTATATTTCATAATTTCGAAAGGATGATGCAAGATACAAACAGAACTAAGCAAAGTGATGTTTAATTTATGTGTTGGCTATGTAGAGCGTAGTGAGCATCTCCAACTAGGCTTACCAGCACCTTAAACCCGATGCACAATCTATTTACCGCAGACAATATGTTCAATACTTTCATTATTCCCAACCAACCCAAAAGACTTGATGTTCCCAAAGAATATATATATATATATATATATATATGTATATATGTATTATTCCAAATCCTCGAATCGATGCAACATCAACACCCATCAAACACCTATTTCCATCACCCCATGAACAAAACTAACTACATATCAAAATCGAGAAATTCACAATATGGTATATATAGTATAGTAATAACATCCGCTCGTCCCCAATCTATAATAAATATATACCATACCGCCAGACGAGTATTCAATAATCCTCTGTATTTTGTTCGAATAGTCCGTCTGTAGATTGCCAAAAATTGGTTTATTCATGACTATCGATGTCTGACTCGGGGACTAGTACCCTACTTACTTACTTACTTGCTATCTAAAACTCAATCTATGTAATTCAATCCAATCCTATCGGTTGTTATTCTTTTCTGTATATCATCCACATAGGTATATACTTACCATCCGCTGAAAAGAAAAGTAAAAGTAAAAACAAAAGCAAAAGCGCAAGCGCAAATCAACATAATATATATATCTACTACCTCCCTCCCTACACAACCTATACAAATCCAAATCCACCCGCACCCCAAGATCCTCCCTCCCCTTCTCCGCTCCCTCCCAAAAAATCCAACCCCCAAAAAAATCTCAAAAAAATCAATGAAGGGAATTGAGCCCAACGGGGGGGTCGAACCCCCAACCTTGTGATTGACCATCACATCCTACGATGAATAAGAGTCACACGCTCTACCGATTGAGCTAGCCGGGCAGGCTGTTGCTTTAATTGTTGAAAACCGGTCTCTAATCTACAAATATATTACTGTTTGTGGGTTGCGAAAATTCTTTGCAGAGTTTGGAGGTTAAGCGAGGGGGTGGTGGGTTGGTTGTGGATGTGCAAGGAACTTAGTTTCCGAGATGGTGCGTCTAGTAGGTAGATACCTAGGTAGATATAGTATAGACCATAGCGGGCTGTGCGGATATCAAAATAATTGTTTCAATTACGAGTATTGGGTTGGATGTAAAGATACAAGTTGCAATTCATCTGTATTTAGTTATTCTACTCTATAAATTTTTGTATGTGGGTCTCCTCATGCTATTTATTCATCCCCATGAGCTATAAGGTATTTATACTATCCTCTACTTTGATTCAAACCACTACGTCTCTACTCTTCCAATTACCAATTCGTATCCTGATTTGACGACCATCCATGACCCAATATTCCTCCCAGAGAAACATAAAATCCTAGCATCTATCATTCCGAAGAAAAAAACTAATGATGCATATCGTTTTCGTTCATAAAACCGTCCTCATGCCGCTCAAACGCCACGCATACCAGCAATGCCTTTATCCCAAGCAAGCAATCTCAGAAAAAGAAGAATGAAAGAATAGAATCAAAAAGGTATTCGAGAATTTCTCAAGGGAACATTATAGAGCAAGAGGAAAGTTTTGTACTGCTATGTGTGACAATATGTGTTCAAATCAAGCCGTCGGGTCACTTTCTGGCAACTCTTCCTCATTTAGACGAGGTAATCCTTCCACCGGTATTTCTACACCCTTCACGGGATGTAATAACATAGGCGGTAAGCACATTCGGCCTTCCCCGCCCTCATTAGCAGTCGTTTCAAATTCTTCACCTCCCTCATTGTCAACCTTGAAGCCAAGCCACCTTCGCCACAGATTGGGTGCGAATCCAGTGTTGTAGAACCAAGTCAATCCTCGGAGGTTATGTTCACGGTCACCAAACACAGAGGTTCTCGCTCCACCAGTTGCACCATTCCTCCCGCCGTTCATAATGCTTGCAAGGTATTCAATTGGCCATTCACGATCAACAAACAGTGGATGAGGAACAGAGACTGCTTTATAACCATGGTGCAACGCTGTTGTTGGAGCCCACATTTCCGTAAAAGCATGATGCTTCATGAATGTGGTTTCACGATGCATAGTATTGAGGAGCTTGCGAGACATCCTAGATGCTGCAATGATAGTCGCCCGGCGGGGTGGCAAACCTCCAGTAAGGTTGTAGCCTGTGACATCCTCTGCAAGAAGCCAGGTAGTTCCATCTGGATCAAAAAGCGGATTGAAAACAATAAGGTCGGCATCCTCACCAACACCCCAAGTGTACTTGTCCTTGTCGTAGCTAGTTGGAGGAACAGGATCGTTCTCAGTTTCAAACCAATCATCCATGTTCGAAGGTCTTTCAGGTCCCCAGATTGGCTTCTCGCCTTTCCGTACTGGTCCGCCTTTTTGACCCTTTTGACCGTTTATGCCAGCCCACATATTGTTCGGGCTTTCAGTTCCAATCTCGGTCTGTACACGGACCATTTGTTTGAAATCTTCCCATGTACCATGAACTTCCGGAACATAAAATCTACTATTGCGCTCCCACAGTCCTTTTCGGGGTTGCTCCCTTGTCCAGGAATCAATTTTTGATAGGAAGTCATACCAATGTCCGGTGTATCGAATATCAACCTCCCATTCCCAAAAGAAATCATACTCTTGATGGTTGTGAGCAAACCATTGCATTCCCATCTGAAGTCCCCGGTAAGATCCATGAACCGGTAGGCCTCGAGCGAAGGTGTCAAATAAGCCTTGGTAAAGCATAAGCATTTCGGTTTCGCTCCAAAATGTGGCGATTCCTGCGAATTCTGCGGGTAGACAATCTTTCAAATGCTGTTGATATGTTTCTTCATCAGCGAAGACAGGATGTACAGCGGGATCCTTGACTTGAACCAAGAGATGAACATCGTATTGGCCACCTGAACCAATGGAAATCTCGGATATCAATGCTCTCAACGCCATAATGTCCTCTTCTCGCCACTGATATTCGTCCCAGAGTCGAATGACAAACGCAGTTCGCGGAAGGAATTTTTTGGGTGGCGTTGCAACTACTTTCGAGGTGGTATCAACTGTACTGGAAGTAGTATTGAGGACGGGATTGACTGATTCATCCCTGGCGAGTAAATGGCTATCTTGCTGCTCAGTAACGGTTGAAAAGGTAGTGGGCTTTTTAATGACTGGTTCAATTGGTTGAAAGCGTGCCGCATTTCTTTGATGGCATCTCCTCTGAGCATCAGCCCAATCAACCTTTCGGTAGTCAACCTGGCCAGAATGCATCTTCTCAGCGTTTGAGTTGTCTGCCCAGACGGCATCAGAGCCCTCCATCTCTCCATGTTGACCTGTTCCAGTACCCCCATATCGCAAGCCATATCCATAACCATAAGGTCCTAATCTGCCATATCGTTCGAAACAAATATCTTCTGGTAAACCAAGAACTTCATAAGAGCCCATAATATGATCTGGGAATCCGCTTGGTCTGCCTTCGTAATATTGTAGTCTTGGCGCACGCACAGTATTCTCGCGATTGAGGAAACACTCCTGGACAGGTGCATAATCGTCATTGAAAACACCGGATGTAATATTGGTATATGGCTGAAATGGTTTACTGGCTGGAAGGCTGCGCACGGGTGTGACCATTTTCTCAGTCGGGGTCTGATTTTGCAGAGGTAACTCATCCTCTTCGCGAGGATACTCTGGTTTGTTATCAGAAAGCGGTACCAACGTCCTTATTCCACCGTAATATCGCGATAAAAATGGAAACGACTCCCAAAGTGGAGGCGGTGGCACTAATACATGGCCATCTTGAACCTTTTGGGTTGACAGATGGCTCATGCGAATTAAACTCAACATAAATATAACTATTGTAGATATCATGGCTAAACATAGATACCTCATGACTTTGGGAGGTAGTCTTCGCGGGCTTGGTCGTTGGGTAGCCGTGTTAGCTCTTTTTCGTAATATCGGAGCATTGGAGTGGTATGGATTCGATGTCTCTCTCGAGGAGGAAGGTGATGATGGATAGGAAGAATAGTCCGAATCTTCGTCGTCGGATTCTTCATGGTGCCCATACTTCTCACTATCATACTCTTGAGGCGGCTCCTCCTGGGCAGATATACCTGAATATTGTGTGTGCCGTTTAGTAGCCTTGAGAGGGTTTAAGGAATTAAAATCCACCATGTTGGCTCAGGCCAATGTGGCCAATATGTACAATTGAAGGATGAATCAATAGAACGTGTCTAATCCGTTGTCGCGAAATCAAAGATGGCGTCTATAGGGTGGCTATCGAGCAGTATAATTGATCAGTGGCATTCTAAGCTGGGAAGCTTGGGAAAAGACATTCACTCACGCATTGAAGATTGATTAGCTCATGCGACGATTGCGAGTGTGATGGTGATTATGATAGGATGAGATGTAATTTCAGGAATTGGAGAAGATAGAATAGATGATAGGTAGGTAGGTGTGTGGTTTAGTCGACTTTGAGGGGTGAGTTGAAGTTGTATTATGTATAGTGTATTGTGTTGATTGTTCTCGTGTATGAGATTATGAGCTTCGAATAAGTACAATGCAGCATAAGTTCGAGGTCCCACCCATACAGACAGCAGTACAACCTATGATTATCCGAAGATAGCCAAAACTACTTTTGGTAACAAAACTTTCCAAAGTTTGTTGCACGCGGCAACCCCGATTATCCTTACTAGTACACCCATGAAGGTCTAAGCCAAATTGGGAGAGTGTGAGAAATGATTGGATCATATTCACCCAGTGCTTATTAATTTCGAAAGTTCATGCCTCAGTCTTGCATTGACCTCATGCCTTAGGTAATACGTGCCGTTGATATTCATGCTCACAACTCCCTGCTGCAAATATAATATTCCAACCTACACATTGCTTAAGTATATTGAATCAGTGTGAACTTCTTGAGTGTCTACCCAGGCCTTGGAATAGATACACTCTGGAATCTATCTGAATTCGATTTCCCTCCCTTCTTATGAATGTTATCGCTTACACTGCCTGGGTATTACACCTTAGGCTTCAATTGAGCCTAAGTTCACACAGCATCTAGCTATCAAAACAGAGAGTCTTTCTGTAAAAACCCAGGAGAGCTCTACTCGAGTAATACAAGACCAGTTTCTGAATAATTAAAGGTGGCGAAGATCATGATGTTTTGTGTAATGACAATGATTCCTTTTTGTTCAGCAGTGAGTGAAACATTCGGCCTCTCCAGTTGATGATGTTTATCAGTTATGTGTAGTGAATATTGGGGTTGATCGATCAAACTTTTGACCTTCATCGTAGATGATGCTGTTCGCCCCAAAGGTCTGGAACTCATCAGTCTTGACGGGTTATCATTGGACAATGCTAGTTGTTAGTGTAGGTAGGCTCGTAAGTAGTATTGGAAGCCGACACATTCGCTGCTTTTGCGGGTACAAACAAGCATGGCGCCCGACGGTGATTGATTAGTCTCGGGAGCTTTCTTCCTTTTGCCGAGCCTGTCTCGGCCCTCTTTCTCTACTCCAAAAAGCTGCGAAAAGGCAATCGCATCTACAAGTAAGTATGCCGACAGGCTCGTACGATTAACTACCATTTTTGAACGTGAAGCGAACAATCCCTCTGACGTGTTCGCTTGTGAGAAGAATATATGTTTCTGTATTTCGGATACCCAAGGAGTTGAATGTTGTGCAACGGATAATTTCATGTAGCCCATAAATTGCGCTGTGATGTCTTGAGAAATACCGTAGCCAACATATATGCTTGCAGCTTTTGGTGGTAATATTGAAACTGAAGCAGAGAGATGACATGGAAGAGCCCTTTTCCCCTCAAATATCGCTTTCCTGCATAAGCCGATGCTGCATTGAAAGGGGGAAATGCATGTGAGGTCCTCCTCGCTACCCCTATTGATTCGACCCAACCTCAACACCAGTAATATCTCATCGATTATCTTGACGTATAAAGATTCTTTGTTCATGGGCTAAGACCCTAGTTCTTCCCACATACAAATGACTTACCACCTGGCCATCGCATCGGTCCCAAGTTCCCGATTATATCAACGCATTTTACTATACCGACGTCTTTTCACGGGAGATAATAGGAAGTGGATATACTTCTTGTATCCAGGATCTGACCCCTAATTAATCTCAATAACCAGTGCTACCGGGAAGTTGATGCCGTTACTTCACACTGGCCATACAAACACCAAACCTTCATTGTTCCTGACGAGCCAACACCGACTCATGCAAGCCGTGCATAAGCGAGTTTATATCTTGGGGATTTGCTCAGCTGATCAACCCAAACGAAGCTACGGAAGTTGTTTACAGTATCCATATCCCAAGATACTAATAGCCACAAATATCCGGGGTACATCTGATTCATGGAACGCCAATTCAAGAAGACTCAGAATCCAAAAGCCGAAGAGAAGGGTGAAACAAACGACATAGTTCTAACATTATACGATTCAGCGATTTCTTCAAGAGAAGCCCTTAAGGTAAGCTGTGGCGAATGTTTCTCAATGCGCACAAGGAGAAGCAACCATTCAGAGAGTGCATAAAGTAAGGAAAGGCTCCATTCCACGTCAACTGATATGATGATCTTGGTGTTCCAATAGAATCAAGTCCGTGTCACAAGCTCCACCGCTTGTGACAAGCATGACGGTCAATACCAATATTCTTTTTGATGCGGAAACAGCACTTTTCTCTGACTTCACCTGAATTGGCATTTGTGGGGGTTCCATCTATCGATTGCATCGATAACAAATAGTTGTACGTTGAGTGATCTCACCTTGATTATGACTTCGTGGCAAATCCATAGAAGTACTAGGTAGTAGGCAAGTATCAATAATTTACACCGTACAATCGATCAAGAGATATCAGTTGACGGTTGACCGATGCATCCAAGCCAATCTCTTGGAAGCCACTACCTTACATATTCCGCTGCACCTGCACCTTTCAATAATTATGTACCTACCCTTTTCAAATTTTAAATCAAACTCTCCTTAGTGGGAAGCCATTATTCATGCTCTCAATGGCAAAATTTTAATAAACTCCTCCTTATTCTTTCACACAATTCATCTGTTGTTCTTCTCTACACCCCAATCAAGTTGATTTATTGCTATTATTAACTCCATAATAACGCTCAGGATTTAAAATTCACGATACATTCACCAGGTCAGGGCTGCGTCTAGGAGACCAATGCAATGTTAATGCGAGTTTGACGCGGATTGACTGGCTATTTAAAAGACCTCACATTTAACAAACAGAGCACTCTGAACTATAAATCCAAACCATATCATCACTCTAAGATCATCAAGTAGAGCTCGTTTCATCTTCAACAATCCTTCAGCAACTCAAGCAACCACATTCTCTTCATCAGTAGGCAGAGTCTGTTGAACCCTACCACATTTCTCTTCCTATCTTTGAGAAGAACGTTTCTGAACTCCTTTTCTTTGAATCTCTCATCGATATTCAATAAGGACTTGTACTTTGTTGAGTTTTCCTTATCTGTGGTATGCACAAAAAACTGCCTCCATCCTCACTTTCAATCCGGAATTCCTCAGATACTTCCTCGCAATTCCTCTCACTTCAATAACATCATTTTCACTTCTGCTGCTCCGCACGTGATTATTAGATCAAATCTTCTCGAATTGCAGCTACTGCCATTGAACTACTATCACATTAAAACTTAGAACTCGTTCCATGGTCAGTCCTTCCCTCGTGATTACCATGTGTCTACTAACCGTCGTCAGACCATGAGTGTCTCCGCAACAACCACTGCTGTGGCGATCCAAGAACGTCACCCTACAAACGACATCACCCTAGAAGTACCAATGGGTCTTAAGCAACAAGACATCATCCAAATCACTCTTACCGGACCAGGTCTCGTCCTCACCATCCTAGGTATCATCATCTGCATCAACCTTTTCCAGCCATCCCTAACCTGTACTATTATCGCCTTGGCACCAATACCATGGATTGTGTATAACGACTATCATAATTTCATATCTTTAGGTCCAGGAGGAACTCCCTCCACTCTACTTGGATATGTCAAAATCACTTATCTTCGCATCTTTGCTCTTTCCGATCCGTACAGCCCACCAAGAATCCCCGAAGGTACAGAACCTGGTTACATACAAGCTGCCCGCAAAACCCTTCCTTTTCGCAGTGGTCCACGTCCCAAAGTTGCCGGTATTGCTCCCCAGAGACAAATAAGCCAGTATGGTTCTCGAGCAATGTATGAACTTCTCTGCACTAGCCTCAGTAATTTCGCACATCGACACTCGGACAAGCTCAAGACGGGGGTATCCTGTTTCGAGAAGAAAGGGCTTGCGCTCTTCTCTCTCAAGCCTATCAACACTACCTGCAATGGAGAAATCTGCCATGTGCACCACAGCGACAATAGTTACCATATGAACCTTCATCCGGAGGATGCAGCGATTGTTCTGGAAAATGGTTGGGGTGAAAGACATCCAATGGCTGGCGCTTCTGCACCGCAAGCTGTTGCCGATTTCTTCTCCTATCTTCCAATATCTCTGTCTGCGTGGTTTTCGCCAAGAGTTGTGCCTGAACAATTCGTCCTGATTTATGCACCGAGGAATAAAGATGAGCTTCAAGTTGTATGTCATATCATCGAGGCAGCTGCATTCTGGGTCAGTGGCGAGCAATTGTCACTTTCTATCGAGAGCGTTCCATTGATCGAAGAATCTGTTACTGTTTAACGCACATCGCTTGTGAATTGGTTGGAGGTTGATAACTACGATCATGGATGGAGCAACCGGATGAAGAAACGGGGTAGGGGATAGATAAAATTGAAACGGCAATGTGGTGAGAAGTAAAATGATGGTTGAAATGGATACACGAAAGGGGATTGGTAAATTGATGCAGGAGTATTGGATCAAAGTTGGTTTTGCATACATGAAGATATACCCTTGATTGCATTCCATCGCGTTGATATTTAGCTTATTCTTATTGCTACCAATGCATGGTGTTAGCTGTTAGCTCATTTAAAAAAGAGGCACTTATGAACGTTGCGTGATAATCTTGATTTCAAATTGGTATTTTAAATTCTGGTATTTACCTAATGGTAGTATGTGGTAGGGAAAAAAAACAATAAAGAAACTAACCCCGATCCCATACTAGGAGAGTGAGTGTAAATAATCATTCAAATTGGCTCAACCCATGCTCCCAGAAACATCCACAAAAATCCATGATTCAAATTGACAAAAGAAAAGAAGGCCTGTATGCTATCAGTGGACGAGTAAACATCCAAATTTATGGCCTCCTTGCATCACACTCTTCAAGGAACTTATATATTCCTTCCAGGCCCTCATATTCATCTGATTCAGATGGATGTTCGCTGACCTTTGTAAAATATGCAGAGCCACTTTCGCTGATATCTTCTTCCATTGTTTCGTAACCTTCGACCCAAGGATTTTCCGAAAATTCTTCAAGAATATTATCGTATTCATCTTGGTCAGGAGAGGACAAGGTCGTTTGTAGACAAGGAGATAATAGATGTGAGTGTGGTTCTGATTCGGCAGTAGGAGCGAAAGGGAATAGAAGAGCCATTTGCGTTCCTACAGCGGCGTCAAATCCGGTATCTTGATGTACAATTCCTCGCTGCACGCCGACTTCATCACAAAGACGCTCTACAGACTCGGCATCGCAGCCCGGGAATCGGACACGAAGGATGTGATTGTTCTCGAGGGTTATGGGGAGGTCGCCAAGAGAAGACAGTCTCTTGAGATCGTTCATTGTTACTGCGAGGTCTTTGAGAGCGCGTGAGAAGTCGACAGACAGGATATCGAGAAAACCGGAAGTGTTGAGAGATGGGGCGGCTTGAGACATCTTTTGGGCACCGAATGGGAGTGCTCCAGCGAGAGGGGAGAGAGCGGTAACGGTTGGATTGACAGCGAAGTCAACGTAAGAGCCTGGAGTGAATTTGGAAACAGATTGGACCTTGCGAGTGGTTTCCTCTCGGAGAGAAGAAACAGCCTTGTAGCGCTTCTCACCCATAGGAGTCATACCATCGAATTGGGCCTTCTGGCCAGAAAGGAAGAATGCTCGGACAGCTTGTGAAACATTGTTGACCACTTGTGCCGGAGCAGCAGGTGTATGAGAGAAGTATCGAGCGCCTGCTCTTCCGCCCCCTAAGCTGTAGCCTCCTGCTGTTCTAGGGAGCGCTCCACCACTCAAGTTTGGTCGGAGAGTTGAGGCAAATGGAGCTCTGCTTGTGAGACGAGACACAGCGGTTGCGGTGTTTGATTTTGGGAACGAAGCACGATCGTGCTTAATGGCTTGTCCACTGGTGCTCATAAACCGACGGACAGCAGCATTGACAGCACTTTGGGTAGTATACCATCGTCCCTTATTTTGACGGAGAAGGGCCGCCGGATGGATAGGATGGCGAGGTGTACTTCTCACAAAAATTGGTTGAAGTTCTGCGGTGACAGGCTTGCTCGTAACATCTTTGATGCGTAATTTAATGAGTTTCGTAGTTCGTTGAACTACGTTCCTATGAAATACGTCAGAATACTGTCTTGAATGGTTGCAATGATGACATTGGAGTTCCTCATATAGTTTATAGATTGCAGGAACAACTTACTTTAGCATTCTCACGGCTACAGGCGCCCAGATGCCTCCAGACGACGCCATGATGAATACTGATTTATGAAGTTATCAAGATCCTTTGATTGTTGTAATAAATGGTTTCGTACCTGGACGTCAGGACGGATCTTATCTGGGGATGTTATCGCCACTGCTCAGCCACATCACATGCCTGGACGTGGCTTAGAGACTAATGCTTTTCTAGCTTTAGCGTCAAAGCTACGCTAGTGGTTAGCGCGAAAATAATTTTTGACCTTGAGCTTTAAAAGTTTTCCTCCTCTACGTTTATGTCTTTACAACCAACCAACATCTTCAACAACAACAATAATAACCATCATACCTTTTCTTTGTGTGATGAGGTTTTCTATTTTCATTATGATTTAGTTTTCTTTTACTTGGTAAGCATTTACTCCTCCCTGCTTGCTTCAATTGCCTCAATGATGAACACAAACACATATTGAACAATCCAACTCTTACACCGCAATGGAGATTTGTATTTTAATCTGAGCAATCTTGATTTACATCATGAATTTTAAACTCATATAGTCGAGCACGCAGCTAACAGTTCGTCTCAGACATCTTCATTTGCTATTACATTCTACAAGCTGCCACAAACTTTCAATTCAAAAGGTTCGTAACATTACACATTTGTTCCTTATTCTTTGCGCACCGTTGGGGGTGATGATTAAAACTCATTGGAAAGGCATTCCTCAATCCGAATTATACTGTCGAATCTTTGCATTTAAGTTTCAGCCTTGTCTGACCCATCGTTCATTTATTGCATAATATTGAAACATATCTTCTGTGCCAAAGCTAACCATACATGGCAATAGGTACATACACTTCCTCATCATCAATTTCCTCGCATTACATGACGAACTTTGAACGAACGGGCGGACAGACTGCGCACTCCTTCTCCTATCTCCTATCAAAGCGAGGCGTACAAACCTTGTGGGAGGTGGACAGTTAGGAAGTGCTTGTTGAGAACTCGTCAGCTGATCTAATGCTCAATTGCTCTTGGATCTTTTCGATACGCCGCTTGATCAAGAACATCGATGCTAACCTATCTTTTTTTTAGGTAATAACTACAATCTTTTCTTCTACTGTCACACAGGACCATTGCATTGAAATGATGAAACTTATTCACACTGTTTGAAGTGGACTATGTCCGCTACTGAACGCACTACAAAAATCTGATTTAATGAGGTATATTTTGTTCTTACGTAGGATTAAGAAACAGTGCTAACAGTTCTCCAGCCTGACATTTGCTTATGGTTCCTTGCATTTTTGATACCATCAAAAACTTGTTCAAGTACAATCGACAATCGCTGACAATTTCGTCTCGTACGCAGGCACACTTCACAATTACGTTAGCAGGTGTTTCCCTACAAAATGTAAGCTACTTCTTCACCTCCCCTCTTCACATCCTTTGCTCTGATGAACCCAAATATTCGCTGTGTTCTTTCCGAGTCAACCTTTGACGAAACACATATTTCACCTTGGAGAACTGAGATAGTACTCTTTTCACTCATTTCCAATCGTATATCAAAAAAGCTTGGGATTTGAAGCTAACCTGCATAGACATAATGATAATTTGAGCTGGAACTTCATCTGGAGTTAAGGGAAGGGACTTTACTAGATACCCAAAATATAAATTTCCTGTTCTATTATTCATCGGCCTTTTCTGCTATGTGACTGTTCGTAACCATTTCGTGCATCATGAATGACTATAATCTGCGCGACCGATCGGTTGTGACACCACACAATGTTGGATTCGCTCAACAATCAGAAAGACAACAAAAAAGCTTTCTTCAATGGGCGGCATCGCGATTGGCGATGTATCGTCGAACGCAAAACCTGCATAGCAGACATGATTCATGCGGAGGGTCCTGGGCTGAATGACCCGTCTACTATTGGAATGAGGGCATGTGTTTCTTCAATGGAATGTAAGAATAAGAAAGGTCACTGGCGATTGAAGTGATGTGAGAGCGGAAATAGAGTAGTAATCAACCAGATTAATACCGAAGCCGTCAGTAACAAAACCCCCAAACTCAACCTACACCTTCAGACCTCCATCGCTTAATTCCCGCCAATACTTCTCCTCTCTCGGAGCAAATACCAAATTCGGACCATCATGATCCGCAACCGCAAGATCTAATAATTGATACTCATCTACCCTATCTCTCCCATTCATATTCCCAGGCTGTCCTTCACCGAGCTTGCCAGCTTCGCCTGATGCTTTTTCAAAATCAAAATACCACAGAGTTTTCGCGATTGCGAGACAGGTCTCATGGTAAGCCATTGCTTTGCCGAGACAGCCGGTGTCTCCTAGGGCAAATGGGGCAAATGCTGCGCGCATGGAGGCGAGGTTTTGCTCTTCTTTTGGGGTGCTGTTGAGAAGGTGGGAAGTCAATTGTTGTCTATAGAAGGTGGGTTATAGGGGAGATGGGGTAGAATGAGGAGGGTGGAAGTAATGAAGAAGCAAAAGAGAAAGAAAAATTATGGTACTGAAGTAAGGATCCACGTCAAAGAATCGAATAAACCTACCGAAAACCTCCTTCCTCAGATGTCAACCACCTCTCCGGTCGAAAGGCAAATGGCTCTGGAAAATACTCCTCATTATGCATCACACAATATGGATTGACTCCAACCATTGTACTACGCGGTATCACATGTCCATCGACCACAAAAGGTTCTGTATGATCCGAATAAGGTTCACGCCAAAATGTGGCTAGAAATGGTGGTGACATTCGCAATGTTTCGTCAATACAGGCCCGAAGGTATTTGCATGAGGAGAGTTGGGCTCCGCTTTTTATGTCAAGGCCGGAGGAGAAGGTGTCGCGGATTTCGGTGGCGAGAAGAGTATAGGCGGTGGGGTGGCGGGAGAGATAGAAGAAAAGGGAGCTGAGAGCTGCGGAGAGGGTTGTGCCGCCTGGGAGGATATATTTCGTGTTAATGATGCCCATCACGGATAGATATGGGTCTGAAAAGACGCTCCTATTGAGCATAGGAAGGGCTGTCGAAAAAGCCAACTTTGAGGGAACCCAATAGGTTCAAGAGAAAGGACTCAGGAAATCGACATAACTCACCCGCGGGAATAAAAAATACAGCTTCAGCCCATAATTCGCTGCGCCCAAGACTCTCTATACCTTCACCGACTTCCCCTCCTGCGATAGAATAGAAATCATGCTTTGCGTCCTGTGGAAGGGCTACACGTTTCTGTATTATACTCTGTATTGACTTGGAAAATGCCACGCCGTTCTTCTGGTTAAGTCGTCTGAGAAGTGGCTAAGTTTTGGACATTATTGGCTAGGCCACTGTGTGGTAGATGGTTAGTTGGCTTCTTGAAGCCGAAAATGCTAGTCTTGGAGGAGAAGGACTAGTACGTCATGAACTAGCTCTGATTTTTGAAACAGATTTCCAGACGAAGAAACTACGATCTACTCACTGAAAATACTAACAAGCCCATTCATGGAAATCATTGCTCTTGGAAACGCCCTATTCCTCTCCTCCGTTTGCGTATCAAGCGGTTGTCCAAAAGCCAACTGCCCAGCCACATCTGTCGTAAGTCGTTCACACAATGGCGACATATTAACAACTTCATTCTTGGTATCCAACAATAGCTTCAAGAACACATCAATCTCGCTACTCATGGTGGGCTCAAAAGAACGCAATGAACGTTCGGAAAGAACTTTTCCATATATCTTACGCTTTTGGCGATGTCGTTCTCGTTCTAGTGTCCTGAAAATGTTGATTTGGGGGTTGAATTGGGTGTGAGCGTAGATATGGGCTTTGTTTATGGAGGGGTGTAGGTAAATCGCTGGGTGGGTCAATACTTATTGTTTTAAGGGAGAGGGAGAAAGGGGGTTGAATTACCTCGTAAAGCGCTGGAGGTGTTGAATACTAGACGGTTGGGAGCTTGTCTATATACGGGGCCTTTTTGATGGTAGTTAGTGCTGATTATCTTCAAAACAAGAGCATGTTCTGGATAAAGCACTACTGAATAGACATACCATATTTCAAGTGGTCGAAATATGTAGCGAGGTGCAGACGCCTTTTAACGGCATGATAGCCACCATAGCCATCTGTGAATTTGGCGATGAATGGGCCGGGATAGTCTTTCAATGGGTGGAGTGCAAGTTGGTAGCTAAGAGCAAAAAGGATCTAGTAAAGTCAAGCGATAGATTTTAGTTGGAATCATCGTGGATGGGATACTAAGAGTTTTCCTTACCAATGACACTATGATACCGAGAGCATAAACTGCCACTTCGGACAATCTGTCCAATGTGTCCATGGTAGAGAATAGAGAGAATCTGAAAGGATTGTCACATTCAGAATTCGCGTTTGTTTGAAGGTTTGAAGTGAGTTTGAAGATTCTTGAAAAATTTCAGTACTTCAACTTTTGTTCACACTCCTCATAAAGTTAAAATGAAGAAACCAAAGTGTGGTTCATTCAGATTGATGAAAAGGCGTCGATTGATCGAAGGATGCGCAGCCTCGTCTGTACCCGGAAGCTTAGGAAGAGACCCGTGGTGAATTGACCCGTAGAAGGCGGGGGAGGCGTAAAATTGTTGCTGACTGCAGCTATCGATCAGTGGTGTTGTGTTACCTCATCAGGCAACGTTGAATATGACATGCAGTAAGGCTTGTGAATCATTCGTGATTAACTATTTGCGAATTCATGAGTGATATGACACTGCCGAATTGGCATAAGCTGTTCAGTTGGGGGATCGGCTCTTGTAGGTACGGCACGGTAGTTGCGGTCAATGCCAATGTATTGGTAGCAATAAAATTGCCTGGAAAAGCCTTTCTATTGGTCGTGATGACACATATTGAAGACTGCATACTACTACTACGAAACAATATACGATATACTGCTGATGAACATGCTGAATAAATAGGAAAGTTAGCAGATAACTTTACCCAAAAGGTTAGACGAGAATGCCATACAGTTCATTTTTGCTTCTATTATCTACGTAGGTAATCCTTTCGTTTGTTGCATGCATGTGAGGTATATTCCAGGCTCAAATGAACCAAACTTTTAATCTCACCACAAGGCCGATTCTAGTCATTCAGTCCTTGATCGATTCTACTAATTCCGTGAAATTTCAACTTCTTGTATTGCATAACATTACCGGCATGGTTTCTTGCCAAAATTCGACTTCCATTCGGGCGTGGGAGATTCATGCTTACAAAAAGGAATGTAAGACGGAGAAAACTATATGACCGACGCCGCCGCTAACTTTTTATATAATTCGTTTTGATATTGGCGTGTCTGAATAGATGGGAGGCAGTAAGGCAGTGTAGTATTATTGTTCCTTGGTTGAATGATAAGCATAGTTTTCGACCTCCGATATGCTAAATCAACGGAGAACTGGATATCTAGCATTCATTCCTTAACACCCCTCGATATTTAGGTATTTAGATCTAATCAGCATTCGACGAGACTTTAAGTACTACTTGGATCTGGCTAATTCAATGTTAACCTCTACTTGAGCTTTTTAGACTAATTTCATCGCCTAGTCTTGGATTCCTCCCCGCCTCCTTTTCCAGAGTGAGTCGTGGTCGTGTAATACCCCCCCAGTGACAATTAAAATTATTTTTTAGTTTTTCCATTACACAATCTATAATTGCAGCAATGTGCATGCAGCCTTTTTCACCATTTAGGATAGGCATTTCTTCAGGTTGTTTACATATGTGGTAAAGTGTTTTGATGCATCATTAAGGAGGTGGGTGTTTGCATGGGCAGATTGCGACATACAGCCATTACTTACTCTTGCAGAACAGGATTTGGGCGTCCTTCAACTGAGGTGTAAATTCCAGAGTTGCACAAGATACCAAGATTTTACTGATTGAGACTAACAAAAAAATTCTAAACATTCATTTTATGTTATTACGAAAAATACCTAGGTAGGCACGGAATTGATCCCTCTGTCTCCCAGTGATTTGTAGCAACCAACTCGATAAAGAAACTCCCTTCACAATTGTAAATCATCCTTCTCAGTGTTACAAAAAGTTAGTTCTTCTAATGAGCGTTCCATTTCCTTCAGTTATGCCCGTACTTTACAGTAGATTCTGAGCTCCAGTCATCCTCGCACTCGTTGCCTTTTTTACACATTAATGGGAGGCATCCATCCACGGGTGTTGACGCTCAACCAAGTTGTCACGCGAGGATTTCGAAGCAGCACAATCTCGTTGTTCAACCTCAGTGGTCCTAACAATGGTCCCATGTGAAGGTTGATGAGGTTTCGGTAGCGGTGGTGGCTGCTCATCGAGCGAATGCGCATGACTTTTGCGGGACTCGCTTCCGATAAGTTTCAGTTCAGCTATGCTTGCAGGTTGGCCACTTTCATTTGCACCAGCTCTATGTTGCAAACCAGCACCATTGGACCATTCGTTCCTACATTCTCCAGACTCCGAAGGTTTTTGACTTCCTTTGTTTGAAAGACGAGTCCAGGAGCGTGCGTGTGAAATTATACCAAATAAGAGCCTCGCTCGGTAAATATCTTAGGAATAACAGGTAGGCAGAAGACCAATAGCACACAAGTAACCTCGGGAAGAGTTCACATCAAGACGGGAGATACGGTGTATGTCGCTTCACCATCATATTCAATGCCAAATGTTACAGCGACTCTGCCTGCCGCACACACTATAGCCAGTATTCCAACGGAGAAGACCAAGGAGATACCAATCTTTCGTGCCATTGTCATTTGCAAAGTCCAAATTACACGTTGTGGAAGAAGCAATATAAGCAAGTCCATTATGACATTGAAGATGGCTGTGAATACACCAAGAGCTTTGCGGTCGATGCATTTGCCTTTGACCCATGGCTGCCAAATGCTCTCGTGTGGGAGACACGTTATGGCGGAGCTAATAATGCTTGAAACATAAAGCAAGACGTTGAGCAGAATCATTAGGTAGCTTGTCCAGTAGAAGAAGGCGTGGGTACGATGAGGCGAGAATATCTGCACCCACTCAATCAATATGGCCGTCTTTGCGAAGAGTAAAGCGGCGGAATAGCTTATAGTTAGTCCAAATGTGAGGGTCTATGTCGGTGAAGTCAGTGACAAAATTATCTGAGAATTTTTAGCACGCAATCGAACAAACCTTGACTATCCCAGGCAATGTTTTATAGACTATATCCCACTGATAAACATAGAATCCACTTCTATGCAAGAAATCATAGAAGACCCAAGTCAGAAGTACGAATGCTACCTATAAAGTGCCGTCAGCAACAACAATAAGAAAGCCAGATGCTGAGGAAGTCCTTCCACGACTTACGTATGCCAATAGACCGAGATCTCAATCGAACGAGTATATAGTCAGCAAAAAGACATCATAGAACTAGAGTAGGCAATGCACACAATCTTGCAATTCCACCTTTTTCGTAATGAAGATTCGTGAGTATATGCGACCAAGAGTCGCTGCTGTTGAGAGGGCTAAGCAGACAGCACCAACTATGATGGCCTCATGATTGCTATTCGAAGGGTTTGTAAAGTTGGGGATAATACCCTCTGGTGGCATCAATGACGGGCCGTTCAATATTTGTTGCTGCACGGCTGTGGGCAGATTGGGAAAATCCAGAAATACGCTCGCCATTATCGCTCGAGTTTGCACTTTGTTGCCACCGTGTTGCGTGATTGAATGCCACGAAGAATCGAATGACAATCAGAGAAGAATCGAGGAGAGCGAAGATGATCAACGCATGATGTTAGAAATTCTGATCATCAAAACGTCCTTTAAAATCTCATCTCATCTACCTTTGTTCAATCCGTCGTGTGGTACTATAGTCTCACCTACCAAGCACTCTAACCTCAATCCAATTGGACATTTCGCGTGGAACAGCGCCTACCTAGGTAGCTATTACCAGAAAGCCTTTTCTCTGATCCGTTCACTTGCGTTGCGGGATTTGAGCTGATCATGAACGACCATCATCTACCTAGGTAGGTAGGCACAGGAGAGTGACAGTATGACTGCATGTATGCACGTTATTGTGCAACAAACCCCCCTCTGGAATTTATTCCATCATTTGGGAATAGAAAAACCCTCATTGTGAAACTTCAAACGCACAACATTTAAATTTCTTTTATCCAGGGGTAGGCACTTTAGCCGGGCTCGTGCTAATCCGTTTTCGGGATACCAACTGTTAGGTAGGTACAGCACAGAAGCCATTACAGGGACATAAGGATCACACGATATATAAGGCGAACAAATCAGTCTTTTGTAAGTTCATTGAGTATAGGCGATTTCAATCAACTTTATCTAGTCCACCGTCCATACCACACCATGGAAGCTGGTAACATCACGGCCACAGCCTCATCTGAGAAGACGAGCCAAATCATCGCTAGAAATGACGCCGCTCTTCCATCACCGCTGACCATCTTGGGTGGTGTCGAGGGAGAAGTGATTGTTTACCTACGCGGAATACGTTTTGTGATGCTCGCTGCCTTGTTCGTTCTCTCTTCATAGAATTTACCCTTACCTATCACCATCACTGTCTGGTGGCGTCTTAATTTCTGTTCGCCGTCAATTTTAAAAGTTTAAACTGATTGAAACAATGATGAATAGGATCGGCATTATGGTTTTTATAGTTAGTGTGGAAGCGAACGTCGCTGTTACATCGTTTGTGACTATCACGCGCGATCTTGGGGGGTTTGAAACTATCAGTTGGATTCTATCTGTTTATCAGCTTGGATTTGTTGGTGAGTTTAAAATACGATTCCTATTGTATCAGTGTCAACCTACTGAATGTATCTAATTTAGCAACCATTGCCATATCTGCTAAATTGAGTGACATATTCGGTCGCAAGCCCATCACTGCAGGCTTTCTGCTGATTTTCACAATCTTCTCGGCGGGCTGCGCTGCTGCCCAGACTATGACTGCACTGTTAGTTAATAGACTATGTGTGAACATATACTCTAAGCTCATATGTTTTCTAGTATTGTCGTCCGAGCATTTCAGGGTCTAGGTGGCGGTGGTTGCTACACGTTGGCCTCGATCCTTATTGTTGATTCTGCCCCACCAGAGAAGTATGGAAAGTACGTCACTGTGGCAGGTATTGCGATCGCTCTGGGGACCGCTCTGGGGCCAATTATTGGCGGAGCTATCACCGAAAATACAACTTGGCGATGGATATTTTTGTTCAAGTGAGTTTTTTCAACCTTACTAGCAAGACTTTTTCTAATATTTCTTCTTCTTGCAGTGTGCCCATAGGCGCATTAGCTCTTTTTCTAGTGTTACTTGGTATTCCTAACGGCTTTCCCTACCAGCAGCGAGGTCGCCGCCATAAATCAATCAATGCTGTACTCAGAACACTTCGGGACAAGTTAGACATTACAGGCTCAATTTTGTTACTATTTGCAGTCTTGGCTTTCACAGCATGTTTCATGGAAGCTGATTCGCGGTTTCCTTGGAAATCTGCGTACGTCACTACGCTCTTAAATACCTCAATTATCCTATCGATTGCTTTGTTGACCTGGGAGCGGCGTGTCACTTTGACTGACAAGGTGCGTGAGCCGGTACTGCCTTGGCGGTTCTTTACAAATCGCGTAATGATTGGTATCCTACTTGTAATGATGCTTGTTGGCGCGCCTATGAGTGTCACTACCTTCCAGCTTCCTCAGAGATTTCAACTCGTCAATGAACTTTCAAGCCTCGATGCTGGAATTCGACTGCTACCATTTGGGGCTGTGTTTCCTGTTGGTTGCATGGCAGGTACTATTATTGCTGGCAGATTTAAAGCCCCAGCAATTTACTTGATATTTGTCGGATCGATATTTCAGATAATTGGGTATGCGCTACTCAGCACTTTGAGTACATCTGCACATATTGAAACGGCCGTATATGGCTACCTCATCATATGTGGCTTCGGTTGTGGTTTAACATTTACAATGGCTTACATCATGGTTCCTTTTACGGCTGACCTATGTGATAAAGCTGCAGGAATGGCTTCGGCTAACCAGTTCCGGGCGATGGGAAGCGCTATAGGGTTAGCTATTGCTACATCTGTTTTCAATGGGTACGCCTTGTCTCATTTTGCGGACTTGCGGATTGACGGTTCCATGACAGAGCTAATCACTGGACAGTCATCACTTCCTAAGTCTGTACGCGAAGATACTAGGCGTATTCTGTCTGAAGGCTATAACCGTCAGATGCTTGTTCTATGTTTGATTTACGCAGCGCAGATACCAATTGCGATGCTGGTGTGGAAACGAAAACAAATTGTAATCACGTAGAACAAGATGCTAGGAATATAGGTTTTCGCTAAACCCAAAGCTGAAAAGATTACAATGTATAAAATGTTTAATATCATCAACACTGCGAGTACTTGCCTCACAAACCGAATGTAAATATCCTTGTTTCTGTAAGAATTTATAAACTCCATCATGGCAAACGTTGAGAAACTTCTTAGCAGCCTCAGCGGCCCCATTAGCCCCCAAAATGCAATGTTCGCATCACCATCTGTTTGAGCTTGGTTGCCCCGTAAGCAAAGCTTCAGGAATAGATGGCGTGCGGGGTGTTTCGGGGAACACATACTAGCTCTTACATGCGATTAGACCATAAGGCAGAGGTCAACCAGGGGTCACAAAAATTCGGCATATGTTGTCACACTTTGACGCCGCTACGCCGTTTTCAAAGAAAGCGATGATTTGATGAGATCTAATCCTATAGGAGTAGAAGTTAATGCATGCACTGCGCAGATCGATGCTGATGGTGTCAGCTCAAGTATGATTCCGGCGCAGTATCGTCAAGTGTATTGATTTTGCTCACCGAGAGGTTGGCATGAGAAACATTGGGAAACACAATGACATTACGAGCATATCGATGCGACGATCATTTTCAAAATGGATATGAATCTCAAGAGAAGATCATGCCTTGTGATTATCACTTGTCTGGAGAAATGCAGTTATGCCCGAGGTTTCAACATGCAGCCTCGTTCTTTTGAAACCTACTCGTCACAAGCGAGACACCCTTGATCGTGCGGCCAAGGTAAAGATATCAACCTTAAGTTTCCTGGTATTTCTCTTGCTTAATCTATGCTTTCAACTCTCTATCTTTCTTCGCCATAAGACAATCTAACTGACAAAGTGAATTTTCGACGAAATACCAAACCTTGACGACAATCAGAATAATTTCTAGCAATGGAGCCCAAAACATTAGACAACAGTGCCTTGGAGCCCTTTGGCATCATTGGGCTATCTTTCAAGTTGCCTGGCGAGGCTACAGATGAGGTCAGCTTCCGGAAAATACTTTCAGAGCGCAAGAACCTCTCCACAGACTGGCCTAAAGACCGGTTTACCACGTGTTCAATGTTCAACAATGGAAAGGTATGTTGATATCTTACAATTATCAAACTCTTCTGTTGCTAGCTATTTGATCACTCACATCATGACCAGTCTTAGGGCTAGTTTGGATGTAAAATCCGTGCTGAATCCACTGAAATAATCTGCACTTTGTGCTATTGCGGATTCCGCAATAATATTAATCTGCTTCAAAAAGAACAGATTATTAATCTATAGTTTTATAGTTTAAATATCAAATCCATCAAATAATCCGTGGTTTTTCTAGAATATTCAATTTAAACTTCAATTCGATATTAAAATCCTATATTTAAAATTGAAAATTATATAAAAAGCTTTAATAGAATAATGATCTTGAAAAAGTACTTAGAATTAGAAAAGAAATACATTTTGATTTTATCTTTCTTTTTCTTTTCTTTCAAAAAAGAATCTTTTTTTGAAGTATTTTTAAAGCTATTTCTATATATAAAATTATTTCAATAGTCAATAATGCAATCATTACCCAAAATATCTCAAAAGCATTTAGAAAGTCGAAAATTATTAATGACAATAGCAATTGAAGATTTATATCTGTACAAAAAGAGGGTAGAAGATCTTGAATTCGAAGTTCCTTTCCCCTAATTCGTTATTCCAAACGAAAGTCTAAATCTATAGTAAAAGCAATCGAATCTCAAAGCCAATTTCGAGATTATGATATTTTCTTTTCTTTTCTTATTAGAAATTCATTATCCAGTTCTTTCTATAATAACAACATTACCTTTAATCAGAAGAAAATACTCTTTATAAAAAAAAAACTATATATAGATATTTAATTCAAATAAAGCTTATTTTAATTATATTAATTTATAATATATAGCAGGATTCCGAAATTAATAAGAGACTCTCAACAAATATTAATACAAATAGTAATGAGAACAATGATGATAAAAGGAATGTTGATAATAGCTATAACATTAATTAAAATCCAAAATATAATATCTATAATAATTCAGAAAGTGAAAAGAATCCCTTTATCGATATTATTGAAAGAAAGAATAAATCAATGGATTCAGAAATTAAAATCGAAAATATTTCAAAGAAATCTATAAATTAATTTAAATAAAAACTCTATAAAAAGCTTCTTTTAAACTTAATACAAAATCATCTATAAAAAACTAATTAATAATCAAATCAATTTATTAAATAAAGAATACTTTATTATAATCAATTTGTATAAGCTATTACTTTAAAGTATAAGACACATACTAATAATAATAAGAATCTAATTAATAATCAAATTAAAAAGAAAATCAATTCGA